AGGATTACCTTAATGCTGGAAAGACCTTACTTATTTATTTATTTTTTATATACTAGCCCATCATGTATCTAATCATCCAAGTGCACATTCAGAGTTAAGAGATTAAAACTGCCAACTCTGCAGTGAGTTAGTGTCATGGACATTGGACGGAGCAAGTGTAAATATCTTTTCTAGTCTATATTTACATCTTGTAATGCCGCTGTTTTAGGAATTTTAAAAAATATATAAATTATTATTTGTAATAGAGCAGACACCGTCTGACCGTGTCTACACACCGGATGCGGCGCGCGCTAAAAGTCTGTCTACACTTGTTGACACTACAGTTGCAAATCATCTGAACGTAGTGTCATAGTGTAATACGTCATATCATCGTATTATTTACTGCCATGCGAGCCACAAAGTAAAGCTTGGCGAGCCGCGCAATAAGTAACACTGCTGTAGGTTGGTTTTTGGCGGGTGTGCTTGTGCTGCCGCGATCTTGTCCGTTTCGTAGGGTGCAACATCTCTCTCACTCGGCAGCATGCCTCTGTTTGAGGTGCTGCAGTAAATTGGTCGTGCTGCTATCTTTTCTAGCAACAGACTTCAAACACACTTTGCAGCAGAGTGTTGTTTGTTCTGCGTCTGACGCCGCAAAACCGAACCAATTCCAAATTATGGATGACACTGTGCCTTTCTTGGGAACGAGTGCTTCCCTGCTCGCTGCCATGTCGTTTGTGTATCTCTATGGCAAACGTGCGGGGGGAGGGCCGAGCCCAGAGGGGAGCGTCGGCGGATGTTAAAAAGAAAACTGATTTTCATTAAAACAAATCGACGTAAACTACACATTCGAGTTAATCGATAAAATCGATTTATCGCCCAGCCCTAGTGTGAAGTTTGTGATGGTAATGCATTGCAAGTGAGTTATGTAATCTGATTTTTTTTAACTAACTAGTAAAATAATGCATTACTGAGTGACGCAATGTTGTAATTCATTACTTCTAAAAGCAAGTCTTATAATAAATCACAATTTTCCTTTCATTCCAGGCACATGGGAGGAGTGGATCTGTCTGACGCCCTTATAGGATATTACACAGTTCTGCATAAAACAAAAAAATGGTATCGGTCCTTTTTTTACCACTTTGTGGACATCGCTGTAGTCAATGCCTTCATTTTGCACCAGCAGATGGCCAAGATGAAGAACCAGAAGCCTCTGACCCAGAAGGACTTCCGGGAGGCGCTTGTTGCAGAGCTTGCGGGAACAGGACCTGCATCCGCCTCTGCACAAGAACGACAGGTTCCTGCTACAGATTCCCACCTGCCCAAGTACACCAAAGGAGACAGCACTTTTGGAAGACGGAAATGCAAACTGTGTTCCAGTAAAACTCCAGTCACGTGTGCAACTTGCCGGGTGCATTTATGCTTTGTTCCAAAGCGTGACTGTTACAGTAAATGGCATGAATTAGCTGATGAGTCTGACGCAGAGTAATGCCCAAGGTACACACTACACTCTAGAGCTTGCGAACAGTTGAACGCATAGCCATTCAAAATATACTCTATTTGACTGGGTGCGTGAACGCAGATGCCGGTCACATGCCCTCTAGGATGTTTCATCTTTGTCCAGCATCTACACTTTTTCTCCAGAGGTTTTGACAGATAAAAATATCTTTGTACTCTTTTAATCTAAAGTTGCACCTATCTCTCATGCACACGAGTGCTTGTCAATGCAGGCGTCTGTTGTTGTTGCAGTCTCTCAATTAGTTTGGTCTCGTTTTGTTTTCTATTGTGAAACAATGGCCAGTGTTGCCACCTAGTGGAATAACTGATTTGTGCAAAACAAATTTAATGCACATACAAAGTAGGTGTAGTTACAAAAATTGGATGGTGAGCGTAAGGTACACATGTACTTTTCTGGTGGAAAATTTGTATCACACACACTGAACCAGTACCCTCGCATACAGGTAAAACCTGAAGTATAGTTTGGGCTAAATGCTTACAGTGCAGTTTATTCATAAACAAGTCCAAACTGCCAACCAAAACCCAGAAATCAAGATAACCAGAAATGCAACATGAAACTAGCAAGACATTGATGACAGACTAATGGCATGTGATGCTTATAAATACTAATAAACTGGAAATATCTTAAAGGCATTTTAGCTTTTAGTGGTAGTTTTGAGTACTTGCATTGCAAGTAAATATGAAAAAATCTCCCATGTTTATTCTGTTGTGCTGGAAGCACACGGGAACTATTTTCATGCTAACTTGGCTGTAAAATCTGTTTGGAACGGTTTGTAATTGTACCAAAACATGTTCCAATAGAAATGCTATTGGTACCGATACCTGTCAGATTCTGAGCTATGTGACCTGATGATGGAAAGGTGCTTAATATTAGTCTTATAACTGTGTAGACATTAACAACACATTTTATATTGGTGTTCTAAAGGTGTAAAAATATCTTTGTCTGGTTTAAAAGATGTATGAGCTGTTTGTAATTGTTGCATGTCATTAAATAGATATCTTCTAAAGTGCTGTTTTAGAGTCTCTTTTTGGTTTTGTACACACAACATGCATTGCCAAAAGTATTGGAACACCCCCTTTTAGTAATTTCCATGAGTACAAATTTTAATGTTTTCGCATATAATGATATTCTAGGGAATTGTGTGCTTCTAATTGTATAGCAACAGTTTGGACAGGACACTTCTATTCTACTTTTGTCCATATAGTGGGCAAAAAAAAAAAAAGATTGATTGAGTCAGTGTGGAAGAACTTGACTGGTCTGCAGAAACCCAGCTGAACACCTCTGGTGTGACTTTAAAAGCAGACCTTGAGCCAAAAACTCATCACCACACACCAATAACTTGTACACAGTATATGGACAAAAGTATTGGGACACTTCCTTCTTTAGAACAGAAAAAGGCACTTCCAAAACTGCGGCAATGAAGATAGAATCATAATTATTGTATTTAAAATGTGTATTTCCATCTCTTGCAGCAGCTTTGGAAGAGTAAAATATGTACAAGTCATTGGTGTTTGGTGATGAGTTTTTGGCTAAAGTCACACCAGAGGTGTTCAGCTGGGTTTCAGCAGACCAGTCAAGTTCTTCCACACTGACTCAATCAATCATTTCTTTTGTAACCTTGCCTTACACACAGAGACATTGATGTGTTAAAATAGAAAACTGTCTTGTCCAAACTGTTGCTATAATATTAGAAGCACACAATTCCCTACAATATCATTATATGCTTAAACATTAAGCTTTGGACTCATGGAAATGACTAAAGTAGTCAAACCTGTTCCTTAGAAGGGGGGGGTACCAATACTTTAGTCCATTTTTTTTCCCAAAGTGAAGACTTCCCCACGACGATTTTGCTGATTTTGCTGTTCGTCTTTGGACATGTTCATTCAAAAATGTCCTCGCATGAATTGCAAAAATGCCTTCGGGGTATATAAAACTTAAGCGCTTGATTTCAAAACATCCAATCAGGATCATAAATCCCTGTACGGGATACCTGGTGTTTTTTCAGGGCGGATCTGGCCAATGACTGGATGGTAAATCATGACAGACAAGAACAATAGCGAATGAAAGTGCGATCGCAGTGGTTAACGGGTTTATTGCAGTTTATTTTGCTCAATTTGCTGGCGCGAGCTACTCTTATCTGCGACCCCGTGCTGCGCTGCATTTAACGATGGATGCGTGTAATAAGGAGATGGATGATAGCGTTATGGACAGCTCGGAGGAATGTGTGAACAGTGATGAAGAACAAGACGAGACCAAAAAATGGGATGATTTATCTGACAAGGAGAGTGTGGCTTCTAGCCACTCTGCAGTAGAGGAGATGTCCATCGATGATCTCGAAACTCTTCTGGATGAGTAAGTTGATACATATTTTAAGACATTTTTATTGTTATACGAAAATATGCATGCCAAAATAGCGAATGTATGAATGAATGATCAAATGAAAAATGAATGTATCCGTTTTGTTTTATTTGATATATTTTAGTATTAATGTACTCTGTTTTGTTTTGTCTTGCTTGGATCATAATCAATTCAAATCACGTAATGAATGAATGAACCTGTAGCACATGGGTTGAGAGCATATACTGTGGGGTAGAGTCAATACGGGCAGTACGCTCTTCTAACAAGAAACAGATTCACTTGTCAGTTGACCCAACAGTGTGTAAATAATCAAGTCTTTTCATTCATACATTATGAATGGTGTGCACAATGTGAAAAGTGCTATAAAAATAAAATTGGCTCCATACCCGAACTTGAAAGTGGACTCTGATCTCTATTACGTTATTGTGACTCAAACCACTTGATCTTGTTTTTAAACTGTCTAATATTGAATTGTTGTTATTATAGCATATTGCTGCCTTATTTGAAACATTCACCCAGCGTAATGCATTCTAATTAAACCCGCGGCTTTATTCTAATAAAAATATCCTTTCTAATTTTCACGCAGTCGGTTGTTAAAAATGCTCTTCATTCCATATAGCAAATTATGTCAGCATTTTATCATTTAGATTAGCATCTGAACATGTTTAGAGCCTGAAAATGAGTTTCTATAGCGTGATAAAAAAAGAAAAGAAAACTAGAGTTGAAAACGCGTTTGGATGTTGGAGTCTATTCTCGTTCCTATCACTGGTTGCTGGAGTACTTAATGCACATCAGATCGATAAAGAGACTCGGAGACCTGGGTGTGTCATCCAGAAATGTGCATTGGATTTCTAGGGTTTTATTAAGTGCGGCCCTAGCGTTTTAAATACGCAGAGGCGGACCGTTTTAGTGTAATTTAATCGCTACCCTTTTGTGGTATTATAATTATTATTATTGTAAAATTTTTATTTAACATGGACATCACAGTTACATTGGACAAACCATATGCACTTGCTTAAGTGTTTTAGCACACATGCTAATTTTCAACACCAGTCCACGAAAGCTAAAAAAAAAAATTTAATTAATAAAATAAAACCAATAACAGTACTACTAATAAATAATAATAACAATGTTAACAATAAAAGTAATAATAACAATACTAATCAAGAAAAAGGGAAAAATATACCATAAAATAAAAAAGGAACAATACATTCAAAATGATTTACATACATAAGCTATAAAGCAAAGACAACATAATCAGACAATATCGCAATAATAATTTGGTATGAAGAACTATTCATGTGAGCACTGTTGTTTGGTTTTAAACCAATTGTTTAAGTCCTCTGTTAAAAGCATTACCATTGGTCTCTAGTTTTAAATGAGTAGGTAAAGCATTCCAGAGTTTTGGCCCCTTTGCCGAGAAAGCAGATTGGCCAAAAGAGGTCTTATACTTTGGAACAAGACAGTCACCACTAATAGTGGCTCGTGTGTTTGCCCTGTGAGAGTTCTGACGCCTACTGACCAATTCAGAAAACAGTGGTGAAACATAATTCTTTAGACATTTAAAAACCAATTTGAGATCATTAAAATCAACGAAACTATCGAAGCTAAGAAGGTTATGTTTTCTTAAAACATCACAATGATGCCATCTCACGGGTTTCTGGTCCATAACTTTTATTGCCTGTTTGTATATTGAAATAATAGGCTTTAATTTATTTGGAGAGACTTGTGACCATGTTGTGACACAATATGATAAATGTGAAAATATCATTGCATGCATGTATAATTTTGCAGTTTGACATGACAAGTCCCTTCTAATAACACGAAAACTATTTAGGTTTGGTTTGACCTTCTTACAGATGTACTCAATGTGACTATCAAATTTTAAATTCTTATCTAGAATAATCCCAAGTTACTTGATTTCATTCACTGCTTCAATTACTTCATTTTTAATCCACACCTCAAATACATCCCTTGCAGGCCTATTTCGTATGGAGAAGCGCATGGAAACTGTTTTTTTAACATTAAGAGTTAAATGAGACAACTCGAGCCATTTAAAGATATTATGTAATGCCTGTGTCAGGTGCTCACCTGCCAGGCTAGATGTTGTATTGGACTCATGGACGACAGTGTCATCAGCATACATCTAGCAGCAATTTGGTAAGTCATTTATGTACATTGTAAACAACAGAGGTCCAAGTACAGAACCTTGCGGTACTCCTATGTTGTTTGTCTGCAGAGGTGACTTAACCCCATTGACCCTGACACACTGCTGTCTTCCACTCAAATAGGACCTAAACCACTGAATGGCGTCTGATGACATTTTGAATTGATTTAATTTATTTATTAAAATACTGTGATTAACAGTGTCAAAGGCCTTTTTTTAGGTCCAAGAACACTGCCCCGACAACATTCTCTTTATCCAATGAGGCTTTTATTTTTTCAAGCAAATAGCAGTTTCAGTGGAATATTTGGCTCTAAATCCAAACTGCTGTCGATAAAGCAACTGGTTAGACTCTAAATGTTCCACTAATTGCTCGGCAACAATCTTCTCCAGAACTTTTGAGACTACAGGAAGAATAGCAATAGGTCTATAATTACTTGCTATATCCTTATCTCCCAATTTATAGACCGGCGTAATTATTGCTGTTTTCCAGCTCTCTGGGAATAGTTTTGTTTGTATTGACAAATTTACTAAATAAGTAATTGGCTCCAACAGACAGCTTTCATATCTCTTAATTAATGCAGCATGGTACTTATTTGGTACTTATATAGTTTGACCTCCTAACTGAAGTCCTTTTCACAAATTGAACATAGAAATAAAAACAGTATAAATAACAAAAAAAATAAACAACAGTTCTTTCTTAGTCATAGCCTAAGTGCAAACAATAGGTGCTCTCTATATTCAAAGTGCAAATAGAGACCTTTTTTTTTCAAGCATGATGCAGAGCTATAGACAACTACAAAACAAGATATGTTATGTAGTCTAATTTGTGCGCATCAGGGAGTTGCTCTCAAAACACGGGGTAGTGAAATTGCTTTTGAATGCGCGTGTGCTTTTTACTTTGGATTTCGATTTAACGATTGCGCGAACTCTCGGCGGTGCTGAGCGTGCATTCTACAATACAATACATACATTTTGTCAGACAATCTGCAACAAATCCTCCTTTGATGTTTCTTATGGGCCAATGAGGGTCTTTTTTGCTCTGCCAATCTGAGGCCCCTGCACACGTGGGGCCCCTAGGCTGCAGCCTAGGCAAGCTAACTGAATGTTAATCCGCGCCTGCACATTTGTTATTGCATAGTGCAGTGTGTTTGTAATGTTCGATTTTTTTTTTTTGCCTCATGCAACAGGTTTACAGATGTCTCTGATGATGATGACTGGTATCCAGAGGTCACTCCACAAAAGAAGAAGAGATCCAGTCTGTCTTCCGTATCACCATCTCCAGCAAAGTCTTGCCGATCTGGTTCACCCGCCTCTGTGCAAAGTGGCAAAAGGAAAGGTAGGAGAAGCAGTGTGAGTCGATCCCTACCTTTTTCCTTAAGCATCTTAGAACAGAAGTGGAAAAGTGCAGC